AGGGACGGAAAAAAGGAGACTATTACACATGGTAAGAAGACCAAGGAGATTAAGCTTATCTTTATTTTTAAAAGTACATTAGGGCCGGCACAGTGCGTGCTCATGCGCTTATACACCTAGCACTTGGGAGGCTGAGGCTGGGTACATCCACAAGGTCAGTCGAAGTTTGAGACCTGCCTGGCCCAATAGAACAACAACAACAAAACATTTAAAAGCTCTGAAGTGAATATGGCCAAATGTCAATATTAATCAGCTCCAGTAGGTAGCAGGTACATAGATACCTGTTTCTAATTATGGTTACTTTTCTATTCTCTTCACCTTTCTGTTCAACAAAATGTAAAATGTTAAGGAAAAGGAAAACCCAGTTGAGCTCAACAGAACCAAATGATGGATGGGTGGACCATGAATGAAGTAGCTGTTATGGGAAGGAAACAATCATCAACTCCAATGTTCAAAAATAAAATCTGATGTTCCTTTGTTTAATTCTTGGATGAAAATGAATCATCCGTCGAACAGAAACCTCCCGATGCTGCTGTTGGTAACGTCTGGTTGCCCCTAGTCACGACCTGGTTTTCCTTTTCATCACTGTCATGTTTCCTCTCCCTCGCTGGGATCCGTCTTCCATGTGTTTTCTATAAAATCAGCACAACAGTTCCTAGTGAAAAAATATTTTACTGCGCATGTGTAAGATTTGGGAGTGTAGAGTAAAGGAAGGTGAATTACAAGTAAGTTTCTGCTGTACTGTCATTTCACCTTGATTCAGCTTAATTTGCCAATCAGGCCTTTATTCTGACATCAGATTTCTCTCTTTTGTTCCTGTCTGCAGCCTAAGCCAGGACTGTCTTAATGTGCTTGGTCACCAGACATGTGGGAGCTTGCGTTCTGTCAAGACCTGACACCAAACAGTTACTGGGCACTCCAAGATTTAATTTCTCCCTAATCTCCCACTCACAGCAATCTACCTGATTCAGCTTCCTCCGTTTTCCAAGCGCTTGTGGCTAGGACAGATTCTCTTAGCCTCTCAGCTACTGCTCCTCGTTTTTGAGATCTGTCTTGTGTAGCTGCCAGCTCATGTCTTTATTCTGTGCTGGTCATTTTTCCAGCCCTGCAATTTGAAATTACTCATCTGATTTCATGAGTGGCTGGCAAAGGGATCTGTCAAATCTGCATATATTTAGGGGAGACCGAAAATAAAACTACATGCTGGAATTTTTTGAAAGTATAGACTTTTATATAGAGAAAAGAAAAATGTAGAAATACGGGGCAGGGGAGGTAGATATCTGTAGCTACTGGGTGACCCCCCAAAAATCAGTTTCTAGTTCTCCATGCTAATAATACATTTTAATCTATTTTTTAAAAAGTTGTTTTGCCTTAGCTCACACCTGTAATCCCAGCACTTTGTGGGGCAGAGGTGGGCTGATTGCTTGAGTCCAGGAGTTTGAGACTCTACAAAAAATGCAAACATTAGCTGGGCATGGTAGCGCACACCTGTAGTCCCAGTTACTTGTTGGGGCTGAGGTGGGAGGATCGCTTGATCCCAGGAGGTTGAGGCTGCAGTAAGCTGAGATCCTCCCACTGTACTCCAGCCTGGGTGACAGAGTGAGACCCTGTCTAAAAAAAAAAAAAAAAGGTCAGACATGGTGGCCCATGCCTGTAATCCCAGCACTTTGAGAGGCCAAGGTGGGAGGATCACCTGAGGTCAGGTATTCAAGACCAGCCTGGCCAACATGGTGAAACCCTGTTTCTACAAAAATCACAAAAAAATTAGCCGGGTGTGGTGGTAGGCGCCTGTAATCCCAGCTACTCGGGGGGCTGAGGCAGGAGAATCGTTTGAACCTGGGAGGCGGAGGTTGCAGAGAGCCAAGATTGTGCCATTGCACTCCAGCCTGGGCAACAAGAGCAAAACTCTGTCTCAAAAACAAAAAACAAAAAACAAAAAACTTATTTTCCCTCATTCTTTCTTGGGTTTGTTAAAATATCCCACTAGTGTGGTTTGCCAGAAAAGAGCATCAGAGCGTAGGCTTTGGAGCTCCCTGGCCTGGATTCAAGCTGTGCCCATTCGGTCTTTCTAGGCCTAGGACTCCTCACACAGACATGAAAATAATAACACTGGGATCTCTCTTTATAAAGAGTATTTTTCAAAATCCCTAATCCTCACAAACTACCAACCTATCACTCAGAATCTGTCCGTACCACCCAGCAAAAATAATCACCACCGAGTGATGCTCATCCTGAACGACCCTGACGGGACAGAGGACATGCAAAATACCAGCCTCTGGGGTCTGAGCGCAGCTGCTTTCGAACACAGACTGCTTTTGAAATGAACAATACGAGCACGAGACTGGTGTTTGGACCGGCTGACTGCAAAGGCCCTTCCCTCTCTGGGATTCCATGATTCTATGAATATAAATTGTTTTCTAGAAAGAAATTAACGTGTCAAGTTAAATCTGCACCCATTTATACAGAGTCACAAGACTTAACAGAAGTTCCAGTTAGTTTACTGACTTGCTTAAAAAAAAAAAAAACAGGTCTTGCAGCAACAGAGGTTGGACTGCCCCATGGAAAAACTTATCTGTAGCACTACAAACTGCAGAAGAATTTAGAAGCCCTCTGTGCGCCGTCCTCAACCGGTTGCACTTGTCTTCCCTTCTTCAAAATCTCACGTTGGCCGTAAAGTTGATGGAGTATTTTCTCTAGGAGACCTTGAGAATTCTTTCTGTGTCATCAGGGCTCCTAACAGGTGCGTTTCACGGGGAGAAAGGGAACATTATTGTTATTTGGATTCCAAAAGTAAAATCCTAAGAACAGTATCATCATACAGAATGGATTTTTGAAATAACATTTAAGGAGCAAGTAGGTGCTGGGAAAATAACTTTTATTTACAATGAGAAGTACTATCTGTGGCTAATAACTGCATATTTAATAGTAACTGCATTTCTTATTAAATATTTCAAAGACATTAAAAGAGCTTCAAATAAAAAAAATCTAAATGCCAGAAAGAAAAAAAATCCTGATCAGTGTCTTTATTGTGATGTCATAGCTTCTCACAGAAAATTATGGACTTTTGTTTGAATTTTAACTGAGAAAAATAGTAGCTCCCTTTATATTGTAGGTGTGTGACCAAAACATGATTATACAACAAACTGCCATCAATTGAACCACATTGTGCACAGTTTCACACTTGATTACATATAATATCATACTTGCCTCTATTCTTTGGAGTACAATCAGATGGTAAGTTCTTTGGAAATGTTTTGGTACTTTAGTATTCAGCACAGGCATATGATGGGCCTCAATAAACACTTAACAATTAGCATTTCAGAGATTTTTATATTTATTTCTGGGTGATTGTCAATTAGCGGGACTCTGTTCCTCTGTCCTCCAGGTGATTATTAATGATGCAGAATCCAACTTACCAGGGGCTACTATTTAAAGATCTTCTGCTCTAGTGAACTTAATAGTCTCCCATGTCCTAGGGCTCTGTAGATTTGAAAGCTTGAATTTCCCTAAATCAAAGGAAATAGTGGAAAAATACTATGAAGGTAAGACCAAGGAAATGCGTAGGGTATAGCTCAGCAAGAAAAACACATATTCTATCATGCATGAGAAAAGAAAAGGAGTCATGGGCCTGGGTAAAAACAGAAGCTATTAAGGTTGAAAATGTGACCTTCAGTGGACGTATATACAGCTGTATCCTTGGACCTTGCATCTTTGTGCAACTTGAGCATTTATAATTACTCAGGGCATCGTGGCGGAGTGTTGAATCAGAGAGAATGAGGCCATGGAGCAAACTGCAACCTTCACTCCCCAACGGGAGGATGATTTAGAGAGTTCTCTCTTGACTGGAACCCAGGTTGCCACCACCCTCGTGGCCAAGTGTGGCTTGAATCAGAAAGTCCAGCAGTGGGGTGGGGAGGTGGTGCTTCTGTTTCAGTTTTCATAAAAGGGCATTTTGGGTCATAGGTAGGAGATAGAATGGAGTGGTTAAGAGGGTGGGCTCTATGGAAAGTGCCTGGGTTCCTGAAGTCCTATACAGCCATTTCCCAGCTCTGTATTTTTAGGCAAGTTATTTGACCTTCTCTAAGCCTCAGTTTCCTCATCAGTAAAATGTGACAACACAGTACTTGCCTCACAGTGTTCTCTTAGGTCAAGTGATGTAATGCATAAAAGCGGTTCGTGTGGTGCTAAGTAAAAGACGAAAAATTAGCCATGGTTTTAAAGTACTCTCCTGAGTTATGCATCTTTCTTGAGACATTACCTTATTTTTCCAATTGCTACTCTAGGACAGGTCCTCTCCCTCCACCAAAAGAGCATTGCTCTCATTTATTAACGTGAGCAGGATGTCCACAGGACATAATTTCCTGAAGGTCAGTAGAACTGCTTCTGTTAAGAGCAATCACCCTCCAACTCTGCATGATTTGCCACTGACTGTGGCCCTTCCAAAGTGGAGGTTTAGTAATGAAGTCAGATGTGATTAACGTCTCCTGCTGTTGCTTGCTCTTCCCATTGTTTATGGCTTTCTGTTGCCTAATGGCTACATGTTTGGGACTCCTATTTTTTAACAAACATTTAAAACCTGACAGATGACAGCTCTTAGGTTATACTTGTTTGTTAAAAATAGGATTCTCAACAGGTAGCTTGTTAAATACAGAAGAGAGACTGAGTTATTAGGGAAGGTCACTGACAATAGTGATTGTTTTGACATGGGCTGGAAAGTGATATAACAGAGAGGAACAGAAAATGCCGGGTCAACACCAGCGCTCTCAATCAAGGGAACTAAGGGTTGTTCATTATGCAACAGGCAGGCATGGCACAGGCGGTGCCAAGAATTTGTTTCAATCTGCCTGCACCCTGTTCTGAGACTGAGTGACCTTCTCGGAAGTGGGTGAATTTGCCCTGCTATTTCTGGCAGCAGTTCCGGTTCTCAGGCTCTTTATTCTACCAGTTGCACTTCTAAAGTAAGTAAGAACTATGTTGTCTGCTTGATACTGAGGCCCCAGTGCCAAACACATTCTTTTGATGATGTAGGGAAAAGTCCTGCATAAACTGGGCATATGAGGACAACAGGCTGAAACTCTGAAGAAGGAGAGCATGACCTTTTCCTAGCTATTCCTGGGCAACTCACCTGAGCTAATACATCATCTTTTCCTAGGAGGAGAAAGAATATGAACACACACACACACCACTCACACACCACATATATGGATACACATGCATACATATTTAATAATCCTGGAATCTATATTTTTCTTGTCTGTTATTAAGCTATTAAGGTTTAAAATGTGATCTTCAGTGGACGTATGCAGATGTATCCTTGGATCTTGCATCTTTGTGCATCTTGAGCATTTACAGTTACTCAGGGCATCATGGCAGAGTGTTGAGTTAGAGACAATGAGGCCATTATTATATTCATATGATGCCTAAATTGGCTATCAAAAAGAGGTATTTATCCTTCAACATGTAAAAAAGACTTGCCGTTTTGAAAACCAGCCCAAGGAAAATTGTAGAAATGACTGTTCTCTTCCCCATCATTTGTCTTCTCCTCATCATTATTTTCCTACTTATTTTGGGGTGTTAGATCGTTTTCGCTTTTAACTTCTAACCTGAAGTTAAAAGTGAAAAGTCCCTCCAACAAGTCCCTTGTTCTCTAACCCTTCCCTGAGGCACAAATCTATTTTCCTAGCTGCTTGGTGGCCATCTCTCCCCGCACCCCCACAGATGCAAGAGTCTTAAACCACACATCCATTTACTGTGAACTTCCCCACACTGCTCCTCCACCTGTCTCCCATTTTGAAATCGATGACCTTCTCTTGCCATCTTCTTTAGTTCTTTTTCCACCCATCCATCTCCTCTGTGACCGGGGATTGCTTGTGAAAAAACTCAAATCTGACCCAGTTATTCTTGTACTTAAAATCTTCAGTGACTCTGTTCCCTACAGAATGAAGTCCAAAATTCTTATTAAGATATATAAACTCCTTCCCAATCCAGCTTTTGCCTGTTATCAGGAATCCTTTCCCACTGGGCCAGCCTGGCAGCCTCTGCCCCGGCCATGCAAATGTTCCTGCTGTCTTTGGAACACAGAACACGTCCTTTGCTCTTTTTTGCCTGCAAGCCTTTGAGAGTTTCTCCCTTCCGCTTGGAATGTGCTTTTCATCTTGTCAAAAACTATCCACCATCCAAGTTTCAGTCCATTGGTACCTTGTGGGTGATGCTGTCCCTGACTGTCCCAGCCAGTGTTAGAATCTGCTCCCTCCTTGGGGGTCTCACAGTAAACCCTGCCGAGTTAGAGACCTTATGTTGGTCACGTCCTCCTCCAGGTCTCCAGCACCCTGGGTTTCCATGACCCCATGACCTAACATAGTACCTGGCTTCTAGTTGGAGCTCAATAAATGTTTCTTGACATAAAGATATAAATTAATTAATTAACTTGGATTTCTTTTAATACCCCTGAGAAAGTGATGGGATTTGCCTTCAAGGAAAGCCTGAACTTTTAACATCAATGGTTAAAAGTAGGGTAATTACAATTAATCAGAGCTAAGAAAATACCTTAGCGGTTATCTGGTTCAACCAGCAGCCTTTGCACATTCAACACTGGGGTTACCAGATATAAAATTACTCCCCCAAACTTACTGGGAGCAGAGAGAATTAGAACCCATGCAGGTCCCAATCCCCAGTTCAGGGGCCTTTTCTGAAAGCTTTCATTTGAAGTGTTCAAAATTAGAATTATCCACAAATCTCTGATAGCATGTATTTGACCTGCCATATGGATGTGGATGATTCTATAGATCAGAAAACTACTAGTTTATACAAATAAAGACTGCAAAAACAGAAACAAAAACAAACAAACAAACAAAACTCTGTTATACTTGACCCCTAGGCAGCAAAGCAGGTTGAATGGGACTGGCTACAAATTTCAGCCACATGAGGGGTGTTGAAAGTCATAGGAAAAGAGAAGAGGAGAGTAGCTAAGAATGGATATTTTTAGACTTGATCATGTTTATCTAAGAAATGTGAAACCTTTGGTTTGAAAAATCTGTCTGTGGGTCCCTCGCACCCACCTTGTCCCGTGAGATTCTGCATTCTCCCTCTGAACAGGTCAGGCCCAGGATCCCACATGAAAGACTGGTTCCTTCATGTCCAGGGAGCCGTAACCCAGGTCCTCCCAGAAGATAAGGGACAACCGGAAACAAATGGAAACAAAACAAGAAAATTTCATCTTTATGCAACCTTAGAAAAAAAATTTAAATAAAATTTAAGACAACAATTTACTTAATTTAAAAAGTTAGCTGAATATGTATTGTGTGCTAAGCACGATCGTCCTCATCTTCTGGATGAGGAAGTGAGGCTGAAAGAGGGAGATAACTGGCCTAGGGTCACAAATCAAGCGACAGGGAACCTAGGGCCTCGGTCTGTCAGCATCATAACCCTGCGTTCTGCTGCTGCCTCATTCAGAGTGGTGAAAAGACTTGGGACTTTTTATTGTAGCTGAATGAATTTGCCTTTGACCAAAGAAGTGGAGCCCAGTCCGACAGTGGATGGCAGGAAGGGTTCCAGTCTGTACAGCACAAACCTTGCTTCTAGTTCCGACAGAGATTCACTATCAAGGAGCGAGTTTTGACAGGGAATGGTGGTGATGCTTTGGGGAAAAATGAAGGATTTATTGAGTTCCCAGGCTATGCGCTTGACACGTGACCATAGCATCTCTGGGAACTCCAGCCAGTATCAGACATGACAGACTGAGGACTGAAACTGAGACCACCTGTGTTATCACAGTTTAGCTGTTTGTTCCAGGAACTCTTCCCTCAACAGGAGTAAGTCTGTAAATCAATAAATAACTGCACAGTTTGCTTCAGAAAATTCCTGTAGGAATTTATCTGAGACAACAGGCAAGCAGCTGGCTATTCAAACAACAGTTCACTTGTCAAGACTTGCTTCAAGACCTTTGTGCTGCTAAGCCGGCCAATCTTACACTATTATGTTGCAAAGCCTGCCCAATCTCAACCGGTTGCACTCTGAAAGACCTGCTGTGAATCATATGTGCCCCTAGGTGCCGAAACCCTATAAATATCCATTTTGACTTCCTTCTTATGAGGCACTGCTGAGACTTTGTCATGGTGGTATTCTCTCTTCTCGAAGTAACTTCTAATTGATTTGGCTTTGGTGAATCATGAGGTCTGATGATATTTTCGGAAGATCAGCCCTAGATATTTTCAGTTTACTGATGTGGAAACTGAGGTTCTGAGAGCCCAGGTAACTGCACTTAAGTCACATAGCCCATAAATCTGGCTAGAAAAAGACTCAAATCTAGATGTCTGCTCCTGAAGACCAGGTTACCACAAAAGTCTTAACTTCTTTATCTGTAAAAAGAAGAAATTGCATTGGCTTATGAAGACTGATTCCTCCCTGCATGCGTTAAACTCTGATAAAAATATACTTTACCATTGTTCAGGTGACAGTAATTTTCTTCCTTTCTCTTTTATTAAAATAGCTTCCCCAGTTTTGGTTTTACATGATTTTGTTTATCTAAACAAATTGCGAGCCTAATAGAAAAGAACCCTATAGGATTTTTCTTTTTATTGTGGTAAAAGACACATAACATAAAATTCAGTATTTTAGGCATTTTAAAGCTCACAATTCAGTGGCATTTCGTATAATCAAAAGGTTGTGTAACCACTGCCACTATCTAGTTCCACAATGTTTTTGTCACCCCAAAAAGAAACCACAGACCAATTAAGCAGTTACCCTTCCCTCCCCCTCCTCCCAGCCCCTGGCAACCACTAGTCTACATTCTGTCTCTATGAATTTGCCTTTTTTGGATATTTCATATAAATGGAATCATGCAAGATGTGCCTTTTGTGTCTGGTTCTTTGACTCAGCATACTGTTCTCAAGGTTGTTTCAGATTCTGTGTTCTATAATCTTCATGGCATTTTTTTGACACCAAATAGCTCCAAAGTACATTAATTATTATGACTGAGTGTTTTTCTCCTACTGGGAGGGGAGAAGAAATGGTCCTCAATGGTAACAATGTGAGAGGAAAACCTCCACACCCCTTGGCCACTTAATCTAAGGAGGAGCTCTCCATTCTCCCTAGACTCTGGGCTGAGGCCCAGCCAAAGCCCAGTTGCAAAACCTGATAAGAAATATTGCATGATGGGCCAGAAACCAATCACCTAGGCTTATTTTTCCAGCCTACTTGGTGTTTCCCTGGCTTGGCCTTCCTTGTGTGCAAGTGAAGACAATGAGGCAAACTGTTGGATGGAGCCAAGTTAATAGGTGACTTCAGGTGGGATCCGGCTTGTACTTGGGACCATTTATGTTCCATTTTGCTAGATTGAATGGAAAGAAGCTCAAGGAAAGTTTTCCTGTGCATGCGTGGAGGAAGCCATTGCTCAATTAGAAATCAGTATGGCTGGGGGTTCATGCACTCCTGCAGATCTGCCATAGCACTGCCTCTTGGCAGGTTGGTGAGCCTCCTTCAGACACTTAGGCTGAAAAGGACGCTCTTCATGAACAGTTCAGATGAAAGTGCAGAAGGAAGTGTACACTGCAACACACCCGGAACCCTCCCCTCAGTCTCCTACAAATGTCAAAAAAAAGAAATTGTGTACCTAATACTGACAAATCTAAATCATGATTTCATGCCAGAGACTAATATAAATCCTTTTTCCTGTGACAGCTCAACACTTAGAAAATTTACTTCATCATTTCCTTTCTCAGTTAATGTCAAACTGAAAATTGATGCTTGATACATTTACTAGTAGGACATTTTAGGCCTTTTCCTTAGAGGATTTCTTTTTATTTTTTCACCCCTCTGAGTTATAGATGATACGGAATGTAAAAATACAAAGAGAAAAGCTAAAATGTCATTACTTTTCCTCTTTCCAACCTTTAAGATAAAAACAAGGGTCACAATGAGTTCAAAATATTTATCTTATAAACACTGCATAGAAAATCATAAGTTGAGATAAATGTCAGAGAGGACACTAAGACATATGACCACAGGTAATTTATGAGGCAGCTTAAAATAAAGCAGCTCTCTTTATTTTACAGTACTAAGATTGCTGTGAAATTTTACCTTAGCTTTCTTTTCAAATACGGCAAGAATCTAAGGCAGGAATTCTTAATGGATCCCTTGAAAATAGTTGTGACGATTTTCATATGTAGATTATGTGCATCTTTCTGGGATGAAGATCATAGCCTTTTTTCTTTTTCTTTCCTTTTCTTTTGTAATCTTAAAGGGGTTGATGTCTCAAGAATAAGAAGAATCTTTGCTCTGAGAGATGGCTGGGCTACAGTGATTTTTTAAAGGTCACTTCCAATTCTGAGATTCTTTGAAATCAGCATTGTATTCACCAAAGATATTTTCTTAGCTGATAGGTTGGTCTCTGCAAAACATAAGGTTGGCTATATAATATATTGACTACTGTGGATTGTTTCCAAAAAAAAGTTGTCCCCGCATCACAATCATGCCTTTGGCTATTAATACCTGCTAACAGGATGTAACCTTAGCTGGTTCAAAATCTCCCTGGAATTGCCTCTATTTAAATAAGTGTTTATTCTCAAATTAATTAATTGCTGAATAGTATTATTACTAAATCAATTGATGTAACGTAACTGGTAGGTTTAAATATATTTTATTGCCTTTCCTAAACAGTAGATGGTTTTCTATAAAAGAACATTCCATAATATAGGTCCACAACTTCTTATTCCAAATTCCCAAATCCAGAAAGCTCTGAAGATAAGAATTTTTTTCCATAACTCATTTGGCAGCACACATGACCTTACTTGAACTCATTTGGCAGCAAGATCTGACTTGAAGTGGTATAAGGCTATTTATAGTCATTATTTACCCGCTTACTGTGAATAATCATACATTTCACAGTAGAGACACCAATGTTTGATTATAAGACGCTGATCTGGACCCTGCTTAGTTGTTATGTAATATCTAATATCTGCTTAGGTGTTACATAATATCTAGTATACGAACCATATTACCTTCCTAAAATCCCCAGATTCTAAATCCCAAAACACATCTTGCCCCATAGGGCCTCAGATAAGAGCTTGTGGGACTATCCCACATATTTTACCTAAAAAGATATATACATATATATACACATATATATGCATGTGTAACATAATTAATGCATGTAATTAATATGTAATATTAACTTTGACATTTCCAATATATGGATTTTGTGGTCACCCTTAAAAAGGAATAAAATGCTTTTCTCACCTTTCCTAACTGGACTGACATCCAGCAAGTTATTTCTGATTTCTGATAAATGAACTCTAAAAAGCACTTGTTTACTTTGTCTCTACTAATTCTTAAAAAGTGCCAGGAAACATTAGCTACAGTTGCTTCCTGATTTTGAGGACAGCGTCTGCCTTGCCCTATACTCTATTGGGCCCAGCACATAGTAGGTAAAACAAATGAATACATGATTATAAATTGTATTTGTATTACTGAATTGTAATTGCAGTAAGACGACAATATATTATTACATTGGTTGGAAACAAAAAGCCTAAGAGTGCAATCATCTTTTTTGCCACAAATTTCAAACTTTTCCCTACAACTGTAATCTAATATGTGTTAGATTGAACCCAATGCCTCAGTGCCATCAAAAAACCATCATTTTTAACCCTGCATAAACATGATTCACCTCTTAGACCTCTGTCCACAGTTCCAGCCTAGGATGACCTAAGAGTGTGGCATTTTCGGAGGCACAGTTAGCTTAGATGTTTCTGCAGTATGGATCAGGAAAATGTAATTACAGTTCAAATTCATCTGACATACAGATCAGAGAAAGAAATATTTGAATGCTGGTTAGACAGGTTTAACGCGTTTAAGGAAAAGAGCTGTATCATTAAATAAAATGGAAACAATGCTATTTCCATTAGCAAGATTAACAGAACCAAGTATCCGGGTTCCTATAATGTAGAAAAGGGACCAGTAGCTTTTCTATGGGAGATGCGCTTTAATCTCAAGAGTTGGAGGGAAAGCAGCAAAATCGCCTCCTGACTACCAGCCCTCCTAAGTCAAATAATGGATGAGAGCAAAGACATGTTGTCCTTGTAAAGAGACAGTCAGGTCAACATGACTTGACCAACCTGCTTAGGTGTCTCACCTTCTATAAAGGAAGAATCTGCCTACTGGGGAATGGGATGGAGAGGGGAGGGGCACTTGGCTATTGGTGACAGAAAAAGGAGAGACACAGAGTCCACTGCTGGCAGTGCCCATCCAATCCCTATTTAGGAAAGAGTCGGTCTCAAAGCCAGCAGACTTCCAGTGTTCTGGGCCACAGTAAAAATGGATGCACTGGTAAGTCATTGCAACCAGGCTTCTCCGTTCTGACCCCAGGATTACTGCGAACCTTTTGGCTGTAACTGTCTTCCCTGTGTATAGACAGAGAACGTTTGGTCATGCTCACAGCGTGTGTAATAGGACTTGTGACCTGCTACCTTGTGAATTATTAAAGTGGCTTTCTGATTTCATATATCAATCTGAGGAGCTGACACAGAGAAATGCATTCTTACCAAATAGGTTTCTTGAGTGTTTGAGGCAGGGGGTCTGCAAATGTCCCAAGGTCATGGCCCATGGAGGTTTCCTCATGTCAGCCTCTGCCTGGCTCCCACCTTCCCAGTGTGAAGCCTCAACACTGAGTTTCTTGCAAACAATAATCCCGGTAAGGGAATAAAAATATAATGTTATTTAAAATGAATTCTGCATTACTGAGAACACACCTGCAATTTAAAAATCTCAAATAAAGTCTTCATGCTTTGTCGAAAGGCAAGAATCCGTATAACTTGGACCAGCTGAAGATCCCATATAAACTCCAGCTTTTGTGCTAAGATGGGAAGATAACGATTATGCATCTGTTTTGAAGCTTTGAGAGGGCTGTGATGTTTGTTTGCCCTAAATATATTTTTACGGATATATGATTTCTTACAGTATTAACAGGCAGAAGTAACATTTAAGATAGAAATCTGTACATTGATGAAATGAAATCTGCTCTCTTAGCTACAATGACTGTTTGGGTCCAGGGAATGCACTGGGGCTTGGGACGGGGCTTTTTTTTCCCTGTCGAGTCCAGTGAGAACCACGTCTCTGGACCTCTCAGTTAGAAAGGAAAGAATCCCATTGAAGCTATACTACCGTAAGTGGCAAATAAATCAAGTATTTTTCCCATTGACAGTTGACCTAGAACTTAGAACACATAGTTCTCATTTAGCAATTTTGGTGAAATGCCTATTTTTAAATAATGATGTACATTTTCATACAGTATATACCACCTTCATAGTCACAGAATTTATGTTGGTTAGGTACAGAATTCCAACAATCGATGTGCCATTTGTAGAAATAAGTGCATTTCTTAGACATATTCGGAAAACCTCATTGTTTCCTGTGACACCAGCAGAGGTTGTGCCATGTATTATACATTGCAATTTGAGGCTTAGCACTTTTCCTAGAGAAACTATTCTTTGTGTTGAATAGTGAAAATCTAGATGTACAAAAGAAATAGAGGGTTATTTCACATCTTCTTGCAGTGCTCAGCTCTAGTTAGGCCTGTTACCACTATGTGCCTGGACCGTCGTGGGAGCTGGAGAGCTTGTTTCTCTGACTCTAGTAGAATGTAGTCAATGAATATTCAGAGCGCACACCCTGTATGTGGTAACGCATCAGGCACTGCAGAGTTAAAGATAAAAAGGCAAGTTCTAAAGGGACCTCTAGTCTGGTAGGGAACAGACAAGTGGTTTGGAGACATGAAAAAGAGACTAACTTAGGAGTCAGGCACCTGGACTTGATCTCTGCTCACCTGTTGCCGTGAACAAACTGCCTCAGCCCATATGCATTACCTCCATAGGGGCATGACCTTGGGCAATTCACAGGCCCTCATACTTACGCACTCGGAAACCTGCTTGGTAGGAGTGTGTTTCTCTGAGTCAGCTCCTGAAATCGATACATAAAAGTCAAAAAGGTCAGCTGGGCACAGTGGTTCACATCTGTAATCCCGGCACTTTGGGAGGCTGAGGCAGGCTGAAGGCTTGAGACCAGGAGTTTGAGACCAAACTGAGCAACATGGAAAAACCCCCTCTCTACAAAAAATACAAAAACTAGCTGGGTGTGGTGGTACCTGCCTGTAGTCCCAGCTACTTGGGAGGCTGAGGTGGGAGGATCACTTGAGCCCGGGAGGCGGAGGTTGCAGTGAGCCAAGATCACACCACTGCATTCCAACCTGGGTGACAGTGAGACGCTGTCTCAGAAAAAAAAAAAAAAAAAGCAATTTAATAATGAGTTCACGTATATGAAATTACATAAATCTTAGTTTTCTGATTTGTACAATGGGATTTTTAAATTTACTAACTCAGAATTACTTTGAAGATTAAGTGAGATGTTAATATCTACCCATCACACCTTCTGATGCCAGGTGAATCTTTCTAAAACGCTGTTTTCATCCTGACACTCTTGCTTATAAATCTCCATGCTTTTAGGAAGGTTAGAGTTCAACGCTTTTGCATAAACTTTTTGATCTGTTCCCAAACCACTTTCCAGTTTCATCTCCAATTACTCTATCAAAATGAAGTACCTGCAACTGCCTATTCATTGTCTGACCATTCTTCTTGACTCCCCATATCTCTAAGTTTTTGTTCATGCAGTTTTCTTCTCCTTATAACATCCCCTGGAATGGCCATTCATGTCGTTTTCTCTCCTCATCTAAGGTCCATGTGGTTATCCAGCCTCTAGGTTACGCCACCCTACCATCCACTCTCTCCTGCTACTGTGCCCTTGAAATGTGCCTAGTTCCAATTAAGATGGGCTAGAAATGTAAGATACACATCAGATTTCAAAGATTCAGTTATTTAAAAGTGAAGTATCTCATAAAAATGTTTTAAATCAACTACATATTGAAAGACTAATTTTATCTGTTAATTTCAATTTTTAATTGAACTAGAAAATATAAAATTAAATATATAGCTTGCATTGTGTTGCTATGAGATAGCACTGGTCTAAAGCCCTACTTTTGGCCCAAGCATCTGGCACTCAACCACACCTGCCTCATTCTTTGTCATTTTTCAACACATGGATGTCTAATCTTCCCAACCACAGTGTGACTGCTTTGGGGACAGGCTCTGTTTTAGGCTGGGTGCATCCCATACAGCACACTCACTCAGTACATGATACCCTTAATTAAGAGCAGATGAACATATGAATCACAAAAGACTAATCACAGAAATCCCCTACATAATTACGCTTCCCAGGTGTTTTCCCAGCACAAATAATGTGAAAAATTTTGCCTCTGCCAGGCACGATGGCTGACACCTGCAATCCCAGCACTTCAGGAGGCCAAGGCTGGCGGATCAATTGAGCCCAGGAGTTTGAGACCAGCTCTGACAACATAGGGAGACCTGGTCTCCACAAAAACAAACAAAAAATCTGGATGTGGTGGCATGTGCCTGTAGTCCCAGCTACTCAGAAGGCTGAGGATCACTTGAGCCTTGGTGGATTGTTTGAGCTCAGGAGTTCGAGACCAGCCTGGGCAACATGGCAAAACTGCGTGTCTACAAAAAATACAAAAATTAGCCAGGCATGGTGGCGCATGCTTGTAGTCCCAGCTAGTCAGGGAAGGGTGAGATGGGAGCATCGCTTGAGCCTGGGAGATTGAGGCTACAGTGACCGGTGGTTATGCCACTGCACTCCAGCCTGGGCGACAGAGCGAGACCCCATCTCAAAGAAACAAACATAAAATGTGTTTGTCCCTTTAGGTATATTAACACTCAAAAGGTTTGAAGAGAGTTGTAAACATGTGCCCTTTCGGGAGGGGGTTTTAATTGGTTGCCTGGTCTGAGAAAAATTTTATGTTTTTAAAAAATATTATATATTTTATAATTTATAAAATGTAAATTATCTATAATGGAATTTACATTTTAAAAATGTATATCGTCTGTTTTGTTCCATGCTTACAGGATGCTTTTTGCAGTACTGTAAAGATTTACTAATCTTCGTGTTACACTTCTTCACTTTGCACAATATTTTCTTCTGATCTTCAGAGCTTTGGGACTCTGGTGACTGAAAAAAGTTACTAGCATGATTCCAGGAATGATGACATATTGATGACATCAGACCAGGTCTGAACTTAATATTATGTGCCATGTTTTGCTCTTTCTTGTCTCTAAGAGGAATCCCTGTTACTGGAAATGATTCCCGAGTGAACAACAGAAAGAATGAATGGATTTGAAGTTGCTTATAATGGAAATGGAATTATTGAGTGCATAGAAAGCTGAGAAGAGGGTGTCACAGTTTTACATGTATATCATCAAGAGGGTTTTTTTTTTTTTTGAGACAGGGTCTCACTCTGTCACAGTGGCACAATCAGGGCTCACTGCAGCCTTGACCTCCTGGGCTCAAGTGATCCTCCCACCTCAGCCTCCTGAGAAGCTGGGATTACACTCACGTGCCACCGTGCCCGGCTAACTTTTGTATTTTTGGTAGAGATGAGGTTTCGCTATGTTGCCCAGGCTGGTCTCGAACTCCTGGGCTCAAGCGATCCACCCGCTTCGGCCTCCCTAAGTGTTGGGATTACAGGTGTGAGCCACTATGCCTGGCCATCGAAAGGATTTTTGTATAGAATAGTGGCTCCGTCCTCAGTTTTCAGATTTCTCTGAGATCAGTCATGAGTGAAAACAGGATGAGGGATTTGGGTCTTCTGTAAAGGAAACATTTGCTGATCGGATAGGCTATTCAGCAGACCAGGTCTTTAAATCTCAAAATGATCTCACCAGATCATCTCTCTAGATCTGCACTGATCTAGGTATAACCTTGCATGGGGCTGGGGTAGTGTTTACTAGACATATCAAGATCTTTCCCATGCTGAAGAGTCTGGAATTTTTCTGAGTGACTCAGTTTTACTTACGTATGCCTATTTTAAGAAAAGAAAAGAAAAAAAAAAACCATACTATCTCTGAATTGATCACAAAATCAGTTAAGTGCAATGAGTTCTTTAAAAAGAGCATCTTACTAAAATGTTACTTACAATGGTTTAAAAAAATCTCTTGAGTGAAGAAAATGTTATTGGAATGTCTATTAATGTTTACTCTTTAACAGCATTTTTTTACAAGGACTTCAAGATTGCAGGTGCGTTCCTGTAGTTAACATAACAGAAATTGTAAGCCAGTAAAGTTCCTGTAGATTTGTTCCTGTTTATTAGGTTGGGAACAGAAAAAGTCAATACCTTGCAACCCATAAAGGAGGGGTGTGCAAAAATATAAACTCTTGTTGCTCTCAGCGCGTTTCATCTCTGAATTGCTATTCCAAGAAAAAGAAGAATAAGATTGTTGCTTTTAGTATTTATAACTCAATGCAAAATTGTAGAGTTGAGTAATTTTCCAAATTGGCTTTCCTTTCTCAAAGTGGCCGTGGGTTAAGAGTCATTAAACAATCACTTTTGCTCAGCACAGAGCAAACAGGTTTTTTAATCCGATGTTTGGGAAGATTATTTTATTCAGTTGTGGTTTCTGTGGAATTTTAAGTGCAACAAAGAATGAAGGACCACTTGTTTGAATGCATGGGCTATTATATATATTTTTGCTATTCTTAGTTGTTCTTTTCACTTAAAAAAAAAAAGAAGACGACGGAGGGATTTCTGTGGGTGGAGTTGCTAGGAAAGGGAAAAGGAGGACAGGAGAAAGTATTCAAAATGATAGACTTTGCAAAGCAAAGAACTTCTGTCATAGCATCTCAAAGAGATTTGCAAATAGAGGCTACTAATCAGGCTTTGTAGGAAGTGAACCTGAACGGCAAGGAAACTGATTGACTTCCCCAGGGTCATTGGGCACAGTGGGAACTACAGTTAGACAGACATTGTGGCCACAGTGGGCCATCTGCTTGAAAGAGTTTTCCACACCCCTAAAATTTTACCCACAATTCCCACAAATCAGCTAGCCTAATAATAATTAGCAAAACTAATTTGCAAACAGTTGAAGGTGGAACAACTAATGTTACCTTTTGAAACCAAGATAATGAGACTGACAAGGTCACATGGTTACGAAGTGACAATATCAGAAAAAAGAAAGGCTAAGATAGTCCCACACCCCAAATATTAAACTCATCCTAAACACCTTTGATAGGAAAATACAAACAAGTATTTAACTTGTTATCTGCTTGGAGTTGCCACCTAATTGTGAGCAATATTGAAATTCTCAGGAAGAAACCCAAACTTGACATTTAAAATGCATCATAGGTAAGTTTTGTGTCATAAGTGGGAAGAAAACAGTGTGGTCTTGCTACTCCTAATTAACAGCTATTAGCAAGGGAATATGGAGAGAGGAAAAATGGAACTGTAAATGTTGAGAGATGTTGAAAATCAGAGCTTTAGGAAATGATTTGTGAGAAATCCATGCTCCCAGGAAAATAAATGTATCAACAACTAGATGTTCTAGATGTTTCTAGCTTATTCGAAAATTGAAGGCCGGGCATGGTGGCTCAATCAAGCTCATATTTTCAGCACTTTGGGAGGCCAAGGCAGGCGGATCAAGAGGTCAGGAGATGGAGACCATCCTGGCTAACATGGTGAAACTCCTTCTCTACTAAAAAATAAAAAAAATTGGCCAGGTGGGGTGGCGGGCACTGGTAGTCCCAGCTACTTGGGAGGCTGAGGCAGGAGAATGGCATGAACCCGGGAGGTGGAGGTTGCAATGAGCCGAGATTGCGCCACTGCACTCCAGTCTGGGCAACAGAGCAAGACTCCGTCTCAAAAAAAAAAAAAAAAAAAAAAAAAAGGAAAGGAGAGAAGAAACAAAAAAGAAGTGCTCCAAAAGGGGCTAGTGAGTATGGTGTTTCTAAGACAAGAATGATCTTCAGTATAGAAGCTGGGGACGTGATCACTGCCAAGCATCCAAGAGAAGGCAAAGGTTTAAAGGCAGTTGCTTACAAAGCCGTCCTGGGTGCTGCTCACGTTACTGCAAAGATCAGGCTCTGATAGTGCCAGCACTGTGGGAGCTTCTTGGAGCTACCATTTTTGCAGTCTGTCATTAGAGCCATCGGATTTGAAACCA